TAGTAGTAGTAGTAATAGCAGTAGTGCTGGTGTCACACTCGGATTGAGAAAGAGCAAGGGTGCAACATCAACGCATGGTACATGAAACTTGGCAGATCCCAATAAACTGCGTTTTTGCAAGCCGAAGAAACCTCATCTCTTGCAGCTTGCTGCCCGCAAAAGGATTGCGTGGCGCTCGCAGTGTGTCGTGCCATGCCGGATTCCGGTGGCATCCGTAGCCTGAGCTGAAGCTGCTCAAGAACCAGTTCTCGCGTTTTCGGCAACAATGGCCTGTTTCTCCAAGCTGACCTTGGCCGTCGTCCACTGCCAAGCCAAGTGGCAGGACATAGCCCATCGATTGTTCTGCTCGCGTTCTTTGTAGTTGGTATCCAACGGAAGAAAATCATCCCGATATGCGGGCATGGACGTTGGCCGGAAAGTTGTTTTCAAACTGCTATTCTGGTCGTAGTAGCTGTATCCTGAACGGAAATTCGGGTGCAAGCCGCTCTCGTGAAAGAGCAAGCAACAATGCTCATGCTTCCTACCGAGCCATAACAGTCCTGCATGGTGCCACTTGAAAGGAAGTGTGCGATGAGCGTAATTCGTACCGAAGCCCCACTTGGTGTCACCCATGCTTTCCACGGGCCATCCGTCAGTGCACCAAAACTACTACGCTTCCTAGAGCCCGGCCGCGGCGTGCAGGCAAAAGACACATGCCACATATCTCAGCTATCTCAGCGTTCATGTGCTGGGCAGCTCGACGAAATTTCACGAACAGCCTATGACTGAAGTGCAGCAGTGCGACTCCGGTTCTCAGCAAGACCTGCACCTGGGCTGAGGCTTCAAAGACTGCAGGTGCTCTAAACCTTTCTCGCTTGTGCCTGGATTGTGATGGACATTCACGTGCGATCAGGCATGAGGACGTGGTGGAATAAGCTGAGACAGGCACTCTTGCAACCCGATCTTGCTCCGACCTCAGGAGACTGCGCAAGCATTACATGGCGAGAGTTCAATTAATGCGAGACTTGGGAAGCTGCGGCGAGGGATATACGACCTTCAACCGACGCCCCAGCCCAGATGTCAAGTGATGCGACCAGTCGAACCTCCATGCTCACCAAGGGCCGGCTTACGTCACCGTGCGCTGCAGCCACCGGCACCTGCAAAGATAGCTCTGGCAACCTTCTGGTTTGCCTGCACCGTCAGACCCTCTGAACGACCCAAACTGCCCAGCCAGGGTTCCTGTGGCGTGCAGTGCCCTCATACAGCTTTGAAAACATGAACATCACATCTTGGACTGAACCCCATCCCGCAGATGAGGCTTCAAGAGGGCGTTGAACAAGATTCCACAGTTGACACGGGGAAACAACTTACAGCGACTGTCCAAAACAAGCACAATTCATGCTGATTCTGGTTCTAAACCGAGGCAGATCTTGATACATACTCAATCTGCTCACGAACTACTTGTTCCAGCTAAGTGTCGATGTTACACTGCAGGGACATTTTCTCGCTGCGGCAGAAGTGGGCGAGCGCTTCTGCTTCTCTAGCAGTGCATAATCAATAGTAGATGCTGCCCGGAAGGTTCAAGCCGGATTCTCCATTCGCACTGCCGCACTACCGTAATTACTGCAGAGTCAACAATGCAAATCAAATGCTGGAAACACAGCTGCAGGCTGTAATTCCTACGAGATCATGGCGGAAGCTTGGCTGTTCAACCAACCCGCCTACCCGCCTATACCCACGGCCTTGCACCTGGACCCGAGATGTCACTGACACAATTCTGGTGCCTAGCTTCCGCCGGAGAGCATGCAGGGCTTGGCGATTGTTCAGAAGTTAGAACTGCGAGAGCATCTTGCACCCAAGGCACTTCACCAAACCCTATGGCAAGGAAGACAAAACCAGCAGTGACGCAAGCAGGCAGAATTAATTCCTGGTCAAACCGGACAATTTTGTCTACAGCCGTCGATCACACTGCGTTGACAAGAGTGAAGTCCGCTAAACTGCGACTGGCAGAACAAGGCTGCCTGATAAGTTCCGCGTGTCGTGCCGACGTGCTGCAGAGTACCATCGCTCATTACGGCTGATTTCTGCCCTTCCTGGATGAAGTCAGGCTTCTTCCGTGAAAAGCCAGCTGCACAGACATACATCGGGAGCCCCCGCTCTCACAAACGGATCTGGATCATCTCTCATACTAGTATCGTGTGAAATAAACGAATGATCCCAATGGCCCTCAACACTCCTAGAATATGCCCAGTGGTAGGAGCAGGACTCCACAATGTTTCGGATTCCATCCTGATTGTTAGGCGACTGTGGGCGTTTCTCGACTTGTCGGCCCCTGCAAGGTGGCTAACACGATAAGATGAAGTCTCTTTGAATTTTGAAGGACCTCACTCTAGAGAATCGCCGACTTCCGGCATGTGGGCGCGTGCCACCTCGATACATCGAAGCAGCACCATGCAACATTGATTCCACTCCGACGGCCTGTGGCGTTGCAACTCGATGCTAAGCCCCTCCAGCACCCGGAGAAAGCTCCCGTGGTGATCCTCCAATTGGCGCATGGCCAGTGGGAGCAACAAGCTCTCTGCAGCTTCCACCTGCATCGCTTGTAGTTGAGCTTGGAGCTCCTGCAGCCTATCACCGAAGGCACCTCCTGAGAAATGATGTGGCAAAAGGGTGCGCAGCACCTCGGCATTCCTCCCAGACAGGCTGCAAAGGAGAACGATCCTGGGGAGCACTAGGAAAAGCTCGGCATCCTGGTCTTCGAGCATCCTCCCAAGTGTTTCCGGTGCGCCAGGATCCGCGCAGAGTGCTGACACGGCACTCAGCGCCTGCATTGCACCCTCGTTCAGGAAATGCTCACCGAGCTCCCAGGCCTCTTCCCAACGGCTCAGTGCCTTGACGAGGAGCGTGTTGCAAGCGAGCTGCGGGTCCACCTCCATGACGAAGTTGGAGATGGACGCCAGGTAACTGCGCACCTCCACGAAGCCCGACAGGACTTGGGTTGCCAAATAGCGCCGCACCGCAGCCTCTGCGCCTGAGCCCCCGCTTCGAAGAAGCAACGACGAAGCAACCACAAGGACCTCCTCCGTCATGTCATCGCGGCCGTGACCATGTGGGTTCGCGCAAGAGTTGATCTGGGAAACCTCATGGCAAAGAGCCCTCAAAATACCACGGGCCTCCCCGGACTGGCTTCGAATTGCCAGCGCCAAAGCAATGACCTCGCCCTCCTCGAATCCGAGCTCAAGCTCCGAGCCCCACGAGGGCGAGGGAGCAAGTCTTCCCGGCATCTCCTCCTGCAGATCGAAGCACAGGGCACTGTCCGAAACTGAATCCGAGGAGGCCATGGAAAGCCGCCGCACAGGGCGCGGACTCGGGCTCGAAGGCTCCGCGTGCGCTGCCTCCTCCGAGACGGCCGGGGACCTCCTTGTCTTGGGTCGCGAAGGCGAAGGCGAAGGTTTTTCGTCGAAGAATTGCAGCTGGCGTTCCAACTTCACGGCCCGTTCCAGAGGCCTCCTTGCCTCGACTTCGATCCGCATGAGCTCCGCCACATAGCTCGCCTCGAAGTCGCTCCAGGCTTTGTCGAAGTCGCCAAGCAAAACCGACAGCTCGAGAAGCCGACAGCTGTCAGTTCGAGTCGCTTCGCCCTGCTTGTCTTCCAACTTTGTCAGTAACCTCTCATGGCAGTGGCGCACGTCCGAAGCCTTGAGGCGCGTGCTGCTGTGGATGACGTAGATGCGACCGTTCACGGCCACGGACTCGAAGTTATCTTGGCAAGCCTCCCACAGCTCCAAGCGGTAGAGGTGCCTGGACTTCTGGAAGAGGACCCGATAGTTCTCAGTGAAGGCCTGCCGGTAGCTCCGATCAGTAAAGTCCACTTGCTGGACCACGGACAGCAGCTCCAATGCGTCCAAGAACTTTTGAGGGTTGGCCTCCTGGTGCAGGCTGGCTTCAAGGAGGCGCTCAAAAGCTCCTTCTGGGCTGCGGCCGCTAAGTGAGAGCCGGCCAGCTGGCAGCCGCCCGCATCCGCTGCATGAGCGGTCGGTGTTAGTGTTAGAAGCCATGGCAAGACGTGCACAGAGAGCGAGAAACTGTTTGACTGATTCAGCGTGCTTGAGGCCACTGGAATTGCAACGTTTTAAAAGGGCCGAAAACTCCACAAAGTGGCCAGCACTTGGCGGTGAAGCGTGCAATTGAATATGGTGACCGGCCTCTTCAAGAAAATAGCGGTGGGTGACCTGCGTCAAAAACACAACAATGACAGAACAACTGTATTCTGTTTGAGAGCACGCACCGCGACCTGCGGCCCAGGAAAGCTACTGACCAACTACTGGGAAGCCTTCCAATCTACGGCATCTACACGCCGCCTCTGTCAGCTCCCGTTCGTATACGTCAAAGCCATCATCAGCGCCTGCAGGCATCAGCTCTGTCGATGCAATGCTGCATAGCACAGCGGACTTCGTGGCATGTCAAGTGGCTTTAATCAGCATGGTAGCTGCTCGCAGAACTGCACCCCATTGATAGCCAAGTCAACAACTGTGCATGGGACCTGGTGGGCTCAGGCCAATCGTAGCCGATGCATCCACAGCGTAGCCCTGACCCGAGAGTGTCATCAGCACCTCACTCGTTGCGCTTGCGACTTCACGGCTTGATGTGCCACTGTGTGCAAACTGGGCAGCAGCATCCAAAGCAACAGAAGCTGCAGAAAAAGAACAACAACTAGTCGCATCACACTGGGACCGCTAGGGCTCCCACCCAGGGTTCTTGCGAGGAAAACTTCCGAGGATTGAACACCTCTGCATTGCTAGTGCCCCTGCCTAGTCTGCCGTGACAAGGTCAACTCTCCATGCAACACCTGCGAGCAGTGCGCTGATGCCTGAGCCTGGAAGCCGTAGTATTTGCCGGCCAATAGCGCCCCAGCCAATGCGATGCTTAAGCGGCTCCTGCCAGGAGCCGTGAATGTCACAACATCAGTGGATCAGTTGGTCACCGCAGGCCCATCCTGCTTTCCACTGTGCAGGACCAGATTCCTGGAAGCACTAGCACCCGGCGCCCCTCACCATCCTGCATTGGGAAGGCGGAGTACTTGTCTGGTCCATGAAATGGTTTGACATCTGCGACCAAGCGACGGCAGAATAAAGTGATGGATGTAGGTCCTGAGCCGAAGGTATTAGTGCTTGGCATTCCCGTTCAGACTCTCCTCATACTTGCAATCTGGTAAATATCTCCGACACCACCCGCTCTGCCAAGTGTCTGAGCAGATGTTAGTCGATGGCACAGTGAAACCATCTGGCATCTGCAGAACAAGCCTTTCCGTTCTAGCATGAAGCACTTTCAGCTCTTAGTGCTTACCGCCTCGGCTCGCCCGCCTGCCAGCCCAAACACTTTGCTCTGGCATGAAGAAGACCTCACGGCATTCTGCCAGCCCGCCCGCTGTCAGAGACGAGAAGTCAAGCTTGGCTTGGACCTGCAGCTCATTGGGCACCAGCGATCCATTGGCAGGCGAGGCGGCAAAGCCTTACAGACTGGCCAAGAAGTCGATGGCAATCTACGGTGCTGCTGTTCTTTCTGTACTCGTGCTACGCTCATACACCCTCGGACTCGATTCTGTGCACATTACCTCCACCGACCATCCACAGGTGCGAGTTATAGGTCGGATCTGAATCGAGGATCCAAGACCCATCATAACCAGCAGGCTGCGACCGAAATGCGGCTGGGCTGAATGGAGGTGTGGCTCAGCATGCCCAGCACAGGCACTCCTGATCAGGCTTCCTGCATCCTACTCATGTCTTTCATTCATTATGTACTCCTGCTCGAAACGCTCGAAACATGTTATGAAAGATGCGGAGCCTGCTGTCAGCTCGACGTCTGCATCCTTACGAAAAGTTGGCGGCGGTGTCCCTCTCTTGCTATGAGCATATGTTGCAGGATTGCAGGAATGTCGCATCTTGAAAACGCCAAGCAGCGGGAAGATGGGACTGCGAGAAGTGAACCACCTGACTGTCACTATGTCTATGTCTCTGAACCGCTGTCTTCTGTATAATAACCTGCTAGTGCCGATCTGCAGCTTCTTGAATGAAGCTCTTGGGTTTGGGTTACTTGTGTCGGACGTGATGTGGTTCACTGCTGTTGGGGGTCTGGCTGGCGCAGGCACGCTTGTGGTGTGGTATCCGGCGGCCTCACCGACTGAGGCCACTTCTACCAAACAAACCTCCTGCTGGGGAGTCTGGCATGGCCGCGAACTTTGACAGTCAGGCGAACTTCGCATGGCTTGACATGAGAGGAGCTTGCGCGGCCTGCATCCTGAGCTGCCAGACCTGTTCTAGAATCGCGATGCAAGGCCACTTTCACTGACATTTTCAAGCCTGACCACGTGCAAGACGGCCATTCTGTTGGCAATGTGCTTGCTAAGTGCAGCTCGTTGTCGGGGTGATGCGCATTCAGCGGCGATTCCGGATTGGATAGCGTGACCCAAACGTCGACCTCGGCAAAGTGAGCACATGCCATGCAACACTCCCAGAAAGGCTCCGCCCGAGTGGCCCGCCCAACTTCCCGCCCAAATGGCACCCAAGGACGTCAAAGTGTACACGCAGCTCCGGCCTGCCAAGTTTATGCTATGAGCAGAAGCAGACTCGTCATGGAAGCACGCACCGGCCACTGCCTGAGCAGGACCACCTGGCACAAAAAAACACGGGCAGGAAGTTGCCAATTGATATCACCTACGTGTCCTTGAATGTCCTACCAAAAAACAAGCGCACAAGCTTTACCACACTGGCATATTATGGACTGGTCCTACGATTTGGGGCAGACGACCTGTCTGCGGTGATCACCGGGCGCTACCAAGTTCACCCGTTGCTTTCGCGGGTGTGCGCGGCTGAAAAACAGAAGCAAGTGCCCAACCGCGGCCTGGATTCCAGAGCTGAGCTCATGACCGAAGCAGTGGGCGGCCTCAGCTCTGTCGGAAGTGCAGCCATTTACTGAGGAAGTTAGCGGAATCGCGACAGAGTGCGCTTTTTTTGCAACGTGCTAAAGTCTGCTAGTCCACCTCTAGTCGCTGTAGTTGCTGGGATATGTGTCACGTACTGAGTTCACTCACCGAAAAAGCTGTGTGATGTGACGCACATCCGGGAAGTAGTGCAACGGACTTGGAGGATTACTAGCGCACGTTGATGGTTCACCGGCATGTAAAGGACAACCAGGGCACAAAGTCTCTGCAATGCGACAGTCAGCATGGGAAGAACACAGAAAGCATGCGCCGGTGAATAAGGCCGAGATTCAAATTGAAACAGACCTTCAAATGGCGGCCGTTCATGCTATGAAACAACTGTTGCATAAGCGATCTGCCGACACTGTGCGGCTGCGGTCTGACAAGCTTCGTGTGCCTTGTCACACGCTGACCAATTCGGCAGCTGTACATGTTGAACTGAAAGTGGATTCAAAGCCCTGCAGCAAGAGCGTGCTCTCAGGTCCTTCCGTAAATGCCAAGAATTCCAACATGGTCGTGTGTAACTAATCCCAAATAGTATCACAATTTGTTCTCGATGGGCACTGCTCTGTAGAAATACCAGTCTTTCCTGGCTTCTTTAAATGTATGGACTAGGTCCATGTGTGTCGAATTTCAAATAACATGTCAAATGAGGTTCATCGCTGCGCCACCTGCTGCAGGTAGTCAGTGCATACAGGCACCCAAGACAGAAAACGTTGCAACGTTGATGATGTGAAGAACAAAGTATGGCATGCCTTGTCATGAGCGCACGGCAGAATCACCGACCTGCTGCACAGCAGCTCACCTTGGCACTCATTCTCAACAAGCTTAATAAAATTGCCTTGCCAGTTTGAGCAAGCCAGACTTAGCTGCCTGAAAACATGTATGACAGCAGGGCGTGACCACATCGGTTTCGGCGCTCACAATCCAGGCGACCACAACGGTTTATGGTTTTTTCTATGTTGTAGCCTCATTGTAGCCTTGTCTGACAAAATTGCACCAGGCCGCTGCAATCCGCAAGTTCCCGTGAATGGCTGTGCCTTGACAACAGTCTGTAAATTCCCGATCGTCATGCACAATGCCATCAAGCCTTCTCAGTGCTGGCTCCACTGCTGGATGAACCAACTTGGATCCATGGCGCTCCGTCCTTTGCAATGGAGACATTGGATGCCACTAGGACACAGATGACCACTGTCTACAGTACCGTAGCCTCATCACTCCACGAGGACTGGATGTCTTCGACAGGCTTGTGGCCGAATCCTGAAGACTCGGCTATTGAATATTGCCTGTGGCATCCTGTGAAGCACGAAATGCAGCATCTCAAGCTGTGAAACTGAAGGCCGCACGCTTGTCGCAAAGTGTCTTTACCTTCACCCGGCTCTAGTTTCAGAATTTGGCTGCAAAGGGCCAAGGTGTGCATAAAGTGTTGCTGGCAGGTGTTGTCTTGGGAGCCATGCCTCCTGCAGCATGCCCTCCAAGGTTTCATCAAGAGGAGCTGCAGTGCGCGAAGGTCCACCTGTCGCGCAAGCGAGGGAGCTTGTAAATTCCAATGCTGCGAATGCTTGCAAGCAACCCACGTGCGGCCTGCCTGTAGTGGTGGACTTGATCCAAAGTGTGCCATCTGCATCATACATGAAGTCGATAGTCCGATCCCAATCGTAGTCATCATCGCCCGTCAAAAAGCTGGAGCCATACCTCGCAACGAAAAGACGTTTGACTTCTGCAAGCTTTTGCTCCAGTCTCTCCACGCGGCAATCTCGCGGAACACCCGTCCCTTCTGTCACGGTCCAGGGCGTTCCATCTGCATCATACTCGGTGTCAACATCGCGTCCGTACTTTTTCGCAAACAGGCCCTTGACGTTTCCAAGCATGTGCTCCAAACGCTCCAGCCGCATGTCTCTGGGACTGCCGGTGCCGCGTGTCTCCACCCATGGGGTACCATCCGCGTCGTACTCAACATTGGCATCCTCCGCATCAATCTCCACACCGTACTTGAGCTCGTACAGCTTCTTGACTTCTGTCAGCTTTTGCTCCAGTCTCTCCACGCGGCAATCTCGCGGAACACCCGT